TAACTTTCAATTAAAATTTTCAGATATGCTAAGAAACAAAAGCTGTAAAGGTCTTCAACCCATTCCTGTAGTTTTATCCCTATAAGCTGTGTTAAATTAAGCTAAATGACAATGGCATGATTCTCTTAAGATGTTAAACCTTTCACCAGATAAAATCCACATATATTTCATCAATATATTACAGGCATGATGACTCCAGGACCTCTGAATAATTTAACACCTGTACATACTTGTTATTGCTCAGGGAATAGCTTCATATAGCCTGAGCTGAGTGCAAATTCAAAGTGATGTGAAGTCCCAAGGGGCTTGTGCACCTCTGAAATCTTCATCATCTGTCAGATATTTTAAACACAAAATAAAAAAGTTAAAAGTCAAGTCATCATACAACAGTGGAAATAGTTGATGGGAGAAAAAAAAAGAAAAGAAATTTTAAAAAAGCATTAGGAGAACAGACATAGAACTTTATTTTCTCCTATCATGTCTGACCTATTGTTTTTAATATGGCTTGTGAGTTCAGTGCTGTGAAGGGCAGACCATAAACTGCTCTGAGGTACCAGAGTACCCTGAGATCCAGTAAACTGTGTCTGTCAGTCCTTTGTTCTCCTCTTATTGCACTTATTGCACTGGTTACTGGGAGTACCACGGAGCTTGGCTTTCCATCAGGAGGTGTAGGTGAGCCAGCAGTTCTCTCTTCGTTCTCTGCTGCTTGTGTAAGTCGACGATTTATTGATGGACTTGATGATATGAAAAAAGTATTTGTTGGAGAGAATGTGACCTCCTGCAAATTCAATCAGCTACTTTCTTACAGTGAGAAATAAACATGATTTATCTCTGGGAGCTTACTTCGTAAAACATTTGCTAAGCCTAAATGAAGGAGAAATAGACCTTAATAAAAACAACCTATTTTCTGAAAAGAGAAGAAAGTGAAGATTTGATTAGCTGCATTTTGCCTTTGAATGTGGGTTGGCATTTATGGTACAGCAAACAAACCAGCTCTCTTCAGTGAAGCCAGAGAGTGGTATTGCACTGAAAATATCTGACAAATACCTTTGGTCTTAGATACTAAAAAATTGCTATACCATTCTATCCTCAAAAGTGCATTATTTTATCACTGACACTCAAGAGGATGCATTTCTTTCACATGACTTAAAGTTTTCTGACATGTTTTTACTGGCACGGAGTATTTTGCATAGGATTTTTGTGTGGAGCTGGTAAGAATTAAGATTTGTTCTTGACTTCTAGTAAGTAACTGCATTTTAATAATTGACAGACAGCTGTTTGAAGTCTTTGAAATTCAATACCAGGTTGTGGTGTTTTGGTTTTTTTGTTTTGTTTGTTTTGTTTTGACAAGAAACAAAATATCCAGTAAAAATTCTTTAATTTTTCAGTTGTTTGTCGCCATCCTTTCAATGCTGTAAAAATTGCTGCCTCACAAACAGTAGGTCTTAGGATTCCATTTCAGTAGCATTTGCATTTCACAGTTTTCTGATAAAAGTCCATTAAGGTTTACAATGAAGTTTTTCCTTCTGTGATCAATCAGCTGGCTAGGAAATAAAAGCAAAGCATAAGAAAGAACTGCATTACAGTGGATATTTTTTCATGTGGTTTTCAATGTATTCTCATCCCAGTGCTACTAGAGGAATTGTTTGACTTCAGATTTATTTAAATAATAGTGGTTTGAATGACTGACTGCTGAGAGATTAAAGCTGTCTCTAAAGACCTGTGTTCCTGGAGCTCTGCAGCTCTCTGCACATAACTGAGATGATGAGTTACTGCTGTCAGTATTCTGTCTAGCAATACGCTTATTAATCAAAAGTGCTCACAACAAATTTTCTGTAAAACTGGTGTTTTCTTTGAAAACGATCTGATTTCTGATTATTTTCTTTTTTTTTTTGGTACTATATTCCCATTAATCATCACAACACCAGACACTTACTGGAAAGGTGAAATTTCTGTAAACTCTTCAATTTCTCCATAGGTAAAAGAAGAGGAGCAGTCAGCCAACCACACTTTGATGATTCAGGAGACACTGCAGCAGGCTTCAATGGAGCTGTCTGAACAGCATCACCTGGTGGTCTCATCAGATGAGGTGGAGGGAATTGAGACAGTGACTGTCTACACACAGGGTGGAGAGGCTTCAGAATTCATCGTCTACGTTCAGGAAGCTATGCAGCCTGTAGAGGAACAGACAGTGGAACAGTCGGTGCAGGAGCTCTAGAGAACAGTGCTCGGTGAAGATGGCTGCTTGACTTGCCAAAGCCAAGTGTTTGGGTGGTTTTGTCCTAGCCAAAAGCAAGCAAGTTGACAAATTTTTAGTTAATCTGTGAAGCGAGACCTTGTTGCTAGATAGTGATCTGACTGGTTGGATTGTATCAGAAACTTAGACATGTTATGTACAAAACCTTCTCAGACTTCTTTTTTTTTTCTAAAAAATGTTCATATTTTGAGGAAAAAGTATTCTTCCCCTTCTTAGAAGATCTCTCACTTGATTCCCAGAAATCCCCACAAATATTGTCTGCTCAAAACTGTGTTATCCTACAGTAATAAAACTTCCATAAAGGTAGCTAGACTGTCCAGAAAAGTCCATATGTCCCATTTTATACATACTTAATATGTGCTTGACTGGACTGGAAGCAGAGTTGTTTTTTCTTTAAATTACAAGATGTGCTTATTTCTGAGTGTGTGCTTAGAAAGTGCTTGCTGAATTGTGGATCTAACCCAAAGGCTCAAGACTTCACATACCACAGGTGGACTGTAGTTTGGACTTGTGAGATGATCCTTTGAGGTTGGGAGGTATTTAAAGCCATATGTGATAATTCTGGGTGCCAGTAGAGTGATTGTTATTTAGATAATTGAATAATGATAACTCTTTATATCTGGATAAGTATCTGTCCAGTACCATATGATGAAACCAAATCTGTCAAATCAATGAAATAGTCTTTTGTTTTAAAGAAAAAATATATTAAGAAGATGTGTAAATGCTATAAGAGATGTATCTTCATATGTTTTAAACAGACATGCTTGTAAATATGATTGTGTGAAAGAACTTGTACAAAAAGCTTAAGGAAATATTGACAAGAATCTAGATATTGTTAATTATGCATGTATATAGTTCCAGATTTTTCTTCAGGAATCTTGAATTATTTCTGATTTAATATTTTTAAATTTGAGCTATAAAAGTTATTAATAACAAAAATGTCATGTTGTCTTCTAATTGTCTTAATTTCTTAAGTGTTGGCTTCTCTTTTACAGCTAAGTAAAAACTGCTGGTTTGCATTGACTCTGACAAATGATGCCTCCAGTTAGTCATCTCTAATCAAGAAAGTAGCTTAATGAAGTCTAGGCAGACCTTTCTATGTGATTGAACTTATTTATGGCCTTTCTGGGTAGGAAAGTGGAAAAAAGCTTTTGATAAGTTGATGTAATGTCATGACTTGATTGTCTGGTGTAATCATGGAAGTGCATAAGAAGCCCCAGAGATGTTTGCAGGATGGAGACCTTTTGGCCACTTGCTGTAACCGGCTGGAGCTGGTCACAAGTGTCAGTATTGATTTCCTCTGTGTTCAGTAAACTTAGCTAGAGTGAGCCATGAAGTGTTCAGTGATGTGTACACTGTGATAGAGACTGATCCACCAAATGTATCAACTTAAGAAACTCTATTTTTTGTAACTACCAGTTAAAATTCAGTGTTGTTTGCAAAAATAATGCTTTCTTTTATCTCAAAAAGTTTTCTTAGAATTTATTGAAATACTCACAGACCACTTGCTGTTGAAACCACATTTGGAAGAGCATTGTGATCCCATGTGGCAACAGCTGTGTTCTTAACATAAAACCTGTCTGAACCCATCCAGAAATGTGTTGGGTCATTCTCTGCCTGGGGAGGGAAGACTGAGAAGTATTTTGTTATGTATCACTTAAGAATTCTTCAGTAAATTATTTCCAGATAGACACAGTACTCATCTCTGTGAGGTGTGTCTGTGTTTGGAGGAATGCTTTTGATTTGGGTTTTCTAATTTTAATTCCAGGATATCATGGCCTGCTGTAATTTAAGGCTTGATTTATAATTGACAAGTTATATCACAATTTTCCTACAGTAAAGCATGAACGTTTTCATGAATCTTCTGTATTTTTTTTTATTTTAAAAATACTTTTTGATTTGTGTCTGTTTGTAAGTTCCAGGTTTTTTTTTTCCCAGCTCTGCTTGGAGATGCAATGGTTGGAAACATATGAGGCTTAAGTCAGGAAGGACTTTCAGCCATGCTGATTACTGCACATCATTTTTTACCTCCATAATGAATATATTTTCTTTTGTCTGGAATATGCAACATCTGTAATGCTACAAGGAGATAAGTACTTCCTCTTCAATGTAAGCCATTGTACTTTACAAAGTGAATGTCCAAAGATTGCATTTTTTCAGAAGCATAAAGAAAACCAAGCTTTGTTTGTACCAGGCATTTGTTTTGAGAGGCCACGGCTGTCACAGTTGTCATTTGTCTGGATATGGATCAACCAAAAAGGTAAGAATTAAATCTTTTGCTTGGTAAGCTCTGCTTCTGTTACCACCTTTGTTTGCAGTGTAGGTTCAAGTCCTTTTGTCCAGTTAATCTTTTTTGAGGGTTTAGTGACCTTTTCAGTTCAGGGGAGACAAGCAGTTACAGTTTTAAGTTAGTCAAGTAGCTCCTGTTTCTGAAGATTGCCCATTCTTCCCACACACCAGTAATTTCCATTAGCATTTACTACGCTGTAGGATCTCCTGTTTTTTCCTCTTTATTTGACACCTGAGGAATGTCCTGGCTTTAGGCTAACACTTGGCAAATGTTACTATTAAAAGCTTATGCATGCATAAAATGAGTAAGTGATGGGCTAACTGATCTGCACAGCTAAGAACACATCAGGTGGTTCTGGGAATGTGCTGAGCACAGGGGAGATGGGGCTTGGAATTGTGCAAAGACATTAAAAAACTGAAAAAGGAAGCTGCAAATTGTTTGAGTGGCAGTAATGGAAGATAAGGTTATGATGCTTGAAGTTCATTTCTTCAAAAGGTCTTCTAGAACTGAACTCAAGGTCTGGTTCTGGAAGGACCTTGTGTTACAGAATGGTGTGAGTGTCTGCACACAAAGGGGAGAATTTGGACCTCACAGGGCAAAAGGCACAGGAAGAGGGCATGGGAAATGGAGGTTCCAAATTTCTTTACATCTAAAATTTATGGTGTCTGCAGAGGGTAATTTATCTTTCCTGAGTAGAGAAGAAGATAGATCCTGCATTTCTTTTTGATGTGCTTTGGTTTCTGTGGCTTTTCGTGGTTCTTTTTGATCCCAGCAATGTTTCTTGATACTTTCACATTCCAGTAAATTCGCTTACAGCATGGACATGTGCTTTACAGACTTAAAAAAAAACCAAACAAAACACTTTAAAAAAAAACAGCATCTCAAGAACCAGCAAGTAGTGCTAGCATGGCAGAAAAAGAGAGAAGGAAAGAAGGAAAGAAGGAATGAAGGAAAGAAAGAAAGAAAGAAAGAAAGAAAGAAAGAAAGAAAGAAAGAAAGAAAGAAAGAAAGAAAGAAAGAAAAGAAAGAAAGAAAAGAAAAGAAAGAAAGAGAAAGAATGCAAGAAAGAAGGAAAGAGAGAGACAATGATATTGCCAGATATTCTGAGGTTCAAGTAAATGGTTTCATATCCAAGTGGCCAGAGAGTCTGACATGCAAGGGAACCTTTTGGGGTGTTCCGCTGCAGGATCAGGACTTGATTTTTGGCCTGAACTCTTTGTGGCTGCCTGTGGAGGAGGCTCATCATTCACTGCTCCAGACTGATGGAGCTACAGTGAAGTCACTGGAGTTGTGAAAACTCACCCAGTCAGGCAGTTTTAAGTACTTGGCTCTTCTGACAATCAAACTCTTGTGATAAAAACATACTGAATACTCAAGACTGACCAGTTTGGGAGAACTTTCTTCCAAAATTACACCTAATATTTTATGAAGGTAGTAGAATTATCAGCCAGTCCTATGCATTAAAAGACTGCAAGAGTGTCTTGTCTTTTCTTGCTTAATTGTGGAGTTGTGTTTTTGTAAGAACAGTGACGTTCAACTGAGGGCTGTGCAACTAGTAATGAATTTAAATTAATACTTATTTTTATTTATTAATTCTTTTGATCTGGAAATAATGATGACTTTACACAGTGCCCATAGCAGAGCTGAATGAGACCAGTGGTGTACACAAAATCATAGTATATAGATTGTTAGAGTTTTTGTGGGTTTTGTGGTGTTTTTTTTAACACCAGATTACAATTTCTGCTTATTGTAGGTATCTTTGAGCTGTATCTGAAAGTTTAAACAGGGGAAGGCACAAGCTTATTTGCAGAGTGGATCATTAGCAGAAAGGTGATTTCTTGAGGTAATGCTAATAGTGCAGCCTGTGCTTGTAACGTGAGCAGCTGCAGATGTTCTTCACCCTCCCGTGAGGTGAGGACAGTGAGGTTACTGACTTACTGCACGTGGCTTGACAGCTCCTCAGTTTGCATGTCCAGCTTTCCCATCATTAGCACAGATGATTTCCATCAATAGCAGCACTACTCCATTTGTCTTTTTGTCTTCCTTGAAATGAGGACAGCTTTTCATCTGGGGAGACTTTCATGTTCACTCCATCACTGAGATGTATCTTGGCACATCCTCAGAGTATCAAGCTTGATATTATGACAAATCTGCAGTATCATATTCATCTCTGCTATAATTCCACAAGGTACAGCTAATTGGTTAGGTGATGTTCAATGTGCTCCCGTTCTCAACTTGCCTGTGTTTGGCTTCAAGTGATTAAAAGGAGTGCCACACATTTCAAAGGACAGGGCAAATTACAGAGTCCTTGTGTGTTCCTAACAAAAAATTCTGTCAAGTCAGTTGTTTCCCCCCATCAATCTTCAAAGTGGTTGAGACAGAGAAAGGAAGCCATCACCTGTTTCTTGCTATATACTAATGGATAAAAATGCTCTGTTTATGTGTTAACGTAATTCCTCGGATTTTCACTCTGCTTTGTGCAGCACTGAAAGGTCCTGAACAAAAGAGATCTCAGTGCAAATGCACCATCCCAGAATGACTTTCAGGAGGAGTTGCCAGTGACCAGCCTGATCACCTCTCGGATTCAGATGTTTTAGAGTACAGAACATGTTGATGGTTTTGGGGATGACTTGCCCCATTGATAAAAAGTCAGTATACTCCTGCTCTGATA